TGAGTTTTGGTGTTTTCCTGTGGCATTCCACACTGCTGCACCCCCTCTGTGCTTCTGCTGCAGCCCAGTGCATCCTCCTGCTGTAGTAGCCCAATGCAGGAGGAAATTCCAGAAGGATTTCAGTAGAGCTAAGTGAGCTGGGGGGGAGGTGAGTCTGGTTGTCCTTATCTTTGCATCTGTCATTTTGCTCTGTCAAGGAGACACATTTGAGTGTTTCCAGCAACGTCTTCTTTCCTGATCGCTCATCTACCTGTATTTCTCTGTCTCTAAACTGTGCCATTTTGGTGATTCTTCTTCAGGAAAACCCCAGTAGAAGACAAACCTGAAGTGCAAGCAACGGAAACTAAGACACCTCCAGCAGAAGTGAAGACGGTCCCCAACGAAGCCACACAAACAAATGAAAATGAGAGCAAAGCATGATCAGCAACAGATGAAAAAACATGGCAGAACGACTTCACCCAAGCATTTACAACACGAAACACAACACACATCTCATTCCTCTAGTGTCTGTTGCCTTTTTTTAAAAAAAAAAAACAAACAAAACAGAAAATGCATAAATGGGGAGGGGGGGGTTCTCTCTTTTTTTCTTTTTTTTTTTTTTCTTAAGATTTTTAGGAAGGTTCTATTTGTTGTGCACTTGCTTTTAAAAAGTAATACCTTTTAAAAACAGGGTTTAACCCATCACCAAATCGGGGGCTCAGCTGTCCCCTTGTATGTTCAAACAAGCAAAATTGCAAAATACCACTTACAGCATCGCTGAGGAGCTCAGAGTCAACCAGTCTTAGATGAAAGGAAAAAAGAGAAAAGAAAAAAGAAGACCCTGTTCTTTCCTTGGTTAGAATAGTAGATATAACCACTGTACTGCTTGCCTACTTGGTACAGGTGGTACTTAGTGAACAAAGTCCACAATTTATTTTTATACTTTTCAGTCGAGTTTGAAATATGTAAAGCCTCATAAGTAAGTTATAATTTCTGTTCACCTTGTGTTCAGTATGCAAAGTGTCGTGAGCATTTTGTGGCTGAATTCTGTTCTCCACTTTAGACATTGATTTGGGGGTTTATTCTTTTTGTTAGGAAGAATGCCAAAATTGCAGCTTCGGGGGATGTATTTCAATTTGCAGTATTCAGACTCTACATTTCTTTAAATTTTATGTTAATTTTTGCCAACTTCTGTTCTCTCCAGTGTTTACAATTGACAATTTTTTTTTAACTTTTGTTGTGTTTAAATGTATTTGTAAAATAGCTGCCTTTTTTTTTTTTAAAGTAAATCCAGACTCTAGCTACTAGGTTAGCAGCATGCTTGCTTTGCAAAGGGAGACATTTTAAAATATCGATGTTTACAGTAGTTTCCCCTTTATCTTTTTTAATTATTATTATTATTATTATTATTATTATTATTTCTTACTGGAGTAAGAAAAAAGAGTAATGCTGGTCTTTGGTTTGTTTTTGGGGGCGGGGCGTGGGTAATATCCCAACCACTTGTCACCAATCGAGGTCTGTATCCAGCAGTCCACATAAACACGCTTAACTTCGAACAAGAGAGTTGCTGGTGAGAGTTTCCTTATATACTTAAATTAATTAAGAGTAAGTCCCTTGCTGGACCTGGGCCTGACTGCATAAGAAAAATATCATCTCTGCTTTTTTAGGACATTCTTCTCTTTCCTTCATGGAACCCTCCCAGAGCTTTGAGAAGCAGAAGAGGGATTGTACAGTTAGGGCTGGGCTGGTCATGTCTCCGCTGTTTGACCACATCCATTTCTCCTCAGAATGTTGATAACTGCCATTTCCTTTGACCCCAGAAACTGATTTAAAAGCATTGACTTTCTGCACTTAAATAAAGTTTCCTTTTGAGGAGTGGAAACACTAAAAACAGAACGTCCTGCTCTCACTGGGTGACGTTCATGAGCAGAGCAGCATGTAGGTGCCCCTGCTCATTGCAGGGGAGTTGGACTAGGTGACCCTTAAGGGTCCCTTCCAACCCAAACGATTCTATGACTCTCCAAAAGACCCCTTCTGCAAAGACAGCCCCAGCACATTGTGTCTGTTAAGTCATCCATGTATGCTGTGCATCACCCAAACCATGTAACCATGGCTGAGCGCTTGGGCATCAGTGCCAACACTCCCATTGATGTCCCTGCTCTTTGCATCATGCCTTTAGCAGTCAGAGAAAGGGGCTGATGTCACACATGCGTTGTGGTCATCATTGGGAATCATGGAGTAACGCTGAGACTTTGGAGTGGGAAGAAGAGAAGGTTGAGCAGAAGGAAGGTAGAGGAAGGCCAACCCATTGTATAGAGGTGCTCCTTCTCTGGGGGTTTTGCTTTGTTTGTTTTTCTTTTATTTTCCTTTTTTTTTTCTTTTCTACTTTAGATCTGCAAGCTTGTGCACTGTGGGTGCGTGACTTTTAGTGTGAAACGTGTTTTTTGTCATAGTATTCAAATAATTGAGAAAAAAAAAAAAAGCTTCAACATAGTTTGGATGTGGAAGGTGTAGCGAATAGTTCAGATTTCAAATATATATATTCAGGAAAAAAAAAAAAAAAAAGAGAACAACTCTTAGAAGGAACACAAGCCTTTAAATGACAAACCCGAGCTGATGATGGCATCTGTTGCATCGTGCCATGGGGACGAGCAGAAGGGTGATGGGCTGGGGAGACCACGCTTGGCTCGGGTGAACTGAGCCACTCGCGTTGGTGTGTCCTTCTGAGTATGCAGTCTTTTACAGTGGCATCACATGATTTCAAACAGTGAAAAACAGTGGTTTTGTCATTTGCTAAGTGTGGGGTTTTTGCATTTTTTCTTCAGCTCCTGGGGATGGAAGTGGAGGATGGCTGGATGTGCAGGCACAGACACTCAGGCAGTCCCATCCCAGGCAGGACAGCAGGGCAGGACAGGTCCTCACTTGAAAGCCGTGTGTCAGATTCGACCCATGCTTGCCCCGTGACGGCAGTGTTGGTGTAAGTAAGGCGAAGTTTGGTCTGTGGTCCCTAAACCTTACGTGTCATGCCTCCCTGAGCAGCAACAGGAGCAAACGCTGCTCAGCACAGTGACCCAGAGTGGCACGTCCAGTGCCACTGCTCAGCACCCAGCGGGTGGCACTGTGGTGGCTGTCACCCAGACTGGCATTTCTGCCACATAAGGCCACCAGCCCAGGGCCCCATCCGGCACCTGGCCATGTCGCAGTGCCCAGTGCCTGCTGGGCTGTGTCTCACGGATGGAGCCTCTGTCCTGCTCCCTTAGTGCCCCTGTGACCTCCCCATCCCCAGTACCCTTAGAATTAATTTTGGAGAGCGTTTTTATACTTGCCCTTAATGGAGAATAATTTTTTCTTTTTTTAATTTATAAATATCCCATTCCCAAGGTAGCTTAGGCTTCATTGCTTTTATTTAAACCTTTGAAGAGGGACCAACCTGATGCCGTTTGCGCTGTATATGTTTATATATGTATCCATGCCATACATATATATATCTATATGGCAACTCAGACTGATCAGCTTCTAGTTGTGGAGTGACTACATTTCATGCTGCACCATACGTAATGATGATGAGGTAATAGTGCATCCAGTTGTTCAGCTTTTAGAGTGGAGTTTTATTTTCACACTTTTCTATGGAGCCTTCAAACCCCAGGTTTTCACACTAGGCTGTTTTGATAGTTGTTCTCAGACCTCCACTGACATCCTTACCCAGCATTCCCTACTTTTGGGGGCCTTCTATCTTGTTAAAAAAACGAAAAAACAAAAAATCTTTTTACCGAGTGAAACATCAATTCCACCTTTATTCCCATTCTCACTGGTGTAAATACTGATACTAACTGAGGATTTTGACTTTGCATTCTGTCAGAATACTGTGTTCAAATAAAAATTACAAAAAAAAAAAAATACCAACAAAAAACCTCATGCCTGCAGTCTGCACTTCTTCAGATGTCAGCAGTTGTATACAGAGCTCTTCTGGAGTGCCAGGTGCCACAGAGAGGGAGCAGTGGTCAGGTCTGTCCTTCTGTCCCAGTTATATTCCTTCCTTGAGATGACAAACACACCCATGCTATTGAATGTTGTTGTGAACCTGGGTCAGCTGGGTGTCCCATAGGGAGGCTGAATGGTGTGTGCATGTGTGTGAGTGTTGGCTTCAGAAGGTGTCACTGACATATCCCACGTCGTGTCCATGAACATGGATGATGCTGGAGTAATCAAACTGCTTTTAATTCTATCTTAAGCATTGATTTCTCCTACAGTATTGTGGACAAGCAGCAGCCCGTGGCCTGGACTGGTTCACTCTGCTGGGCAATGAACTGGCTGCGCTGCTGGGCCCAGAGAGTGGTGGTGAATGGAGTTACATCCAGGTGTGCTGTTCCCCAGGGGTCGGTGCTGGGGCCCGTCCTGTTCAGTGCCTTTATTGATGATGTGGACGAGGGCAGTGAGTGCATCCCAGCAAGTCTGCAGGCAACACCACGCTGGGGGAAGGGCAGCAGGCCCTACAGAGGGAGCTGGACAGGCTGACGGCTGGGCCGAGGCCGACGGGACGGAGTTCCACAAGCCCGAGTGCCGGGTCCTGCGCTTGGGCCACAACAACCCCACGCAGCGCTGCAGGCTTGGGGCAGAGCGGCTGCGAGGCCGTGCGGAGGGAAAGGAGCTGCGGCCGTCGGTCGGCGCTCGGCCGAACCGAGCCAGCAGTTGCCCAGGTGGCCAAAAGGCCGACGGCAGCCCGGCTGTGTCGGCAGCGGCGCGGCCAGCAGGAGCAGGAGCTGAGCGTCCCCTGCACTCGGCTCTGGCGAGGCCGCGGCTCAGCGCCGCGTTCAGCGTTGGGCCCCTCGCTGCAATACAGACACGGAGGCCTGGAGGTGTGCAGAGAAGGGAACGGAGCTGTGAGGGGTCTGGAGCACAATGGGCTGTGATGGGGAGCGGCTGAGGGAGCTGGGATTGTTCGGTGTGGAGAAGAGGAGCTCAGGGGAAACCTCACTGCTCTCTGCAACTCCCTGGCAGGAGGCTGTGGGGGGGTGGGGGTCGGCCTCTTCTCCTGGTAACAGTGACAGGATGAGTTTCTCCAGGGGAGGATCGAGTTGGATATTAGGAGGAACTTCTCCACAGCAGTGGTCATCGGCACAGCTGCTCAGGGGAATGGTGGGGTCACCATCCCTGGAGCTGTTCAGGAAATGTGGAGACTGAGGGATACACTCAGTGGGCAACATCGGTGGTAGGAGGACAGTTGGACTAGGTGATCTTGAAGGTCTTTTCCACCTTAATGATTCTATGATTTCCCCGGACGTGGACTGAAAAGCTGAGAGCTCTGCTATGCATCAGTCCTTGGTTGCTGGAATTGCACACAGAAAATAACACAGGTACGTGTATGGGCTGCAACACTTGTTATCCCACGCAGAGCTCTGCCATTTCTGCGTCCCCAGCAGCGCCGTGCTCTGCTCTGAAGGCAGCTCGGCATGCGGTGCAGCAGGGCAATGCTGGAGCAGAGCTGCTGGGAGTGACCTCACACGCTGCTGCTTCACACAAGGTTGTCCCCCTGTCCTCGGAACACAACAGCGGGCTGAAGCACTCACAGTCAATGTTAGTTGGCAGCCATCGGAAAACAACTTCTTCGGGGTCTGTGAACGTCCCCTTTCGGGGCAGAGCACCAGCCCGAGGTAACGCTGATACGGTTCCCTCCATTGTTTCTTTTCCAACTGAATTCAGCTGAACAAAGCCTCCTGCATAAGCTGTGCTTCGGGATGCATCACTCGGCGTCCTTCTCCTCTCCAGCCCTTCCTCAGCTGCTCCATGCGAGGCGATGCCAGCGCAGCTCGGCGCGTCCATCCCGTCACACACGGCACCGAGCGGGGGGACAGCGGCGGGCAGTGGGACGGCATCACCCGGGTTCTGCAAGCTGTCATTCACCCGGCACGGGGAATTATTTGTGCTGTTGATTTAAATGGCAAAGCGAACAGCTTCACTGCTCAGAAGCTGAAATCTGCAGAGCCCAGGAGGGAGGCACCTCCAAAACAGCCCTCACTTAGCAACGAGCCCAGCTCTTGTGCTGTGTGCGGCTTAACTGCAATAGCTTTTACTCTCTTTGACCTTCGGGGTGGCTTTATTCCCTGGATTTCCCAGGGCAACGAACACACACGGCTCCACAAGGCAGCGCTGCAGGCGCAGAACGCGAAATGGCGGCCTGCGAACCCCCGCCTCTCTGTGCATGGCCACGCCCACTCCTCGCAAAGCCACGCCCACTCTTCGCGTAGCCACGCCCCAACGCTCCCTTCGCGTTGTCGTTACGTCAGCAGCGCAGTATCCATAGCAACACCGCCGACGCTGCGCAACTTGCGGCCTCCCGCCATGGCCGCGCTGGCCGACCCGCAGCAGGAGGAGGAATTCCAGCGCTTCCTCCGCCGCGTGGACGACATCAGTGAGTGCGGCAGCAGGGCGGGTGAAACGGACGGGAGACGGAAGGGGGAATGGAACATTCCGCGTCCACACCTTCCCTCTCGGGTCTCCCCAGGCCGCCTGGTGCAGGGCTTGAGCTCTGAAGACGTCGCTGTCCGGGACGGAGCGATCGCCGAGGCGGACCGACGGCTCCGGGAGCAGCGGGGCAGCGAGCAGAGCGCGGCCGGGGCGGACAGGACGGCCATCAGCACCCGCCGTCCCGCACGGGTTTGTGCCCCGCTCCTGTGGCGCTGCCTTCTGCGCGTGGCGCTCCTGCACCTCTGCCAAGCAGAAAAACTCCACCGATGCATAAGGGGAGCTCAGAGCCACCCAGTGCCACCCCCGGCCATGGGCAGGGCTGCCCCCCACCAGCTCAGGCTGCCCAGGGCCCCATCCCACCTGGCCTTGAGTGCCTGCAGGGATGGGGCACCCACAGCTCTGGGCAGCAGTGCCAGCGCCTCGCCGCCCTCTGACAAAGGATTGCTCCTCACAGCTAACCCACATCTCCCCTCTTTTAGCTTAAAGCCATTCCTTCTTGTCCTGTCACTGTAAGACCATGTAAAAAGTCAATCCCCTGCTGCTTGTGAGCTCCCTTCTGGTGAAGGCGTACTTCACCACCTGTTCCACTGCTGCTATGGATTCTACTGAATTATCCATATACAAGCCTACATGTGTTTTACTTCTCTTTTTTTTTAGGATTCTGTGAACATAGAGGCAGTGCACACAGGTAATGCAGTGCTCCCTGCAGCCCTCAGCACCCCTTCTGTCTGCTGTAGCAATGGTGCATTGGGGATTGCTCTCAGCTCGCACAAGACCTCGTTCCACTGCCACTAAAGTGGAGGCAGATTCTTTGGACACATCTAGAAATGCATTTGTGGCTCATACCAATGTGGCTGAGCATGTCCATTGGTATAGTTTGTCACTGCCTGCTGTTAAAGGTTGTTCTGGATTCAGAAGGTGGAGGTGAGCTGCTTTGTGGAAAGTACAATCCTGAGAGCTTAGATGTCTAATACTGTGACATCCCCATTCCAGTTTAATTTCCAAAGTGTTTCCTTCAGATTTTCTTACAATGTGGAGGATTCCCCACTCATGGAGACTTTCAAGGCAAAGCTGGATCAGGCCTTGGGCAACCTGATGGAGTTGTGCCTGTCCTTGAGCATTGCAGGGGAGTTGGACTAAATGGCCTCTAAAGGTCCCTTCCAACTCTAAGAATTCTATGATTCTTTGTAGAGAAATGACTCAGATGTACCTTAGAAATGACTTTTTTTCTTATATGCAATTCAATTTTTAATAAAGTAAATTTTTCTTTTTTAATTTTTCATAACAAAAATGCCACCAACTCTCCTCCTGTCTCCAAGAGGGCTTCCTGGCTGCTTTGGAGAAGGATGCAAAAGAACGAGCTAAACGAAGGAAGAGAAATGAACGCTTAGCAAATGGTAATCACCAGGGGCTCTTCCAGCTAATGCCTTGGGGAGGCACCCAGCTGGTGTGCTTTGAGATGTGTCACTGCATGGGGACAAAACAAATGCCAAAGTGTTACTTGGAGTGTGTGTGTATTGTTCTGCAGCTCTGAAGGAGAAGGGAAACGATGCCTTCAGGAAAGGGGACTACAACACAGCTGCCCAGAGATACACTGATGGCCTGCAGATACTGAAGGACGTGCCGGAGCTGTACACCAACAGAGCACAGGTCAGTGTGGGAGCTGCTGGCGTGCTGACCAGAATACTGCTCTGGGTGTTCTGTTAGTGGCACAGGGCCTGAAAAGGATGGTTCTACTGCCAGTGGGAAGTTTTACAAAAGGTGATGGGTGTTGCTTGAAACACCAAGGCTTAGAAAAGGGACTTTTTTGGCTGTATTTCAGGCCTACCTGAAGATGCATGAATATGGAAAAGCCATTGGTGACTGTGAGTGGGCGCTAAAGGTACGTTCAGCGTGTTGTTCTGTCGGGTCCAGTGTTTGTGTGCAGCTGTCAGTATGGAGATGGTGTGCTAATGGACGTGGGAATATGTTGGGGGGGAGATATTTGAAGTTTCTAAGCACTTTGTGTAAAATTCCTTTTTTAACACAGTGCAGTGCAAAATGCATTAAAGCCTATTTTCTAATGGGGAAAGCTCACCTGGCGCTTAAGCACTACGATGAGGTGAGTTGACTAATTCTTGTGTGCCAGACCATTCCTGTGATTTTGATGTGATGTTGTGGGTGTGTGTGTTGTCTTTTGCATCAGACAAACGTGTACATGGAGCTTAAAAGAAATTCTGTCCTCCTGCAAAGACAAATAATTTTAAAATCTAGACTTCTTTCTACTTCTTTTGTCCTTTCTGATGGTTTGCTCAGAAGGTGTGGCAGCTGCACTGCCAGCCTGCAGGCAGAGAGGCAGTGCTGTGCTCAGTGGCCGTGCTTTATCTGGTGGGGATTTGTCGCCACTTGGCGACAAATGAGCGAAGTGTATTTCTTCCTTTTTATCCTGAAGTGCTCTGTGCAGCAGAGCAATTAAACTGCAAAGCAATAAGAAGTGATTGTGTGTCACCTCTGAAGGAGAAAACCTCCCTGTATTTCGGGTTAGGTGAACTGTTAAGATGAAAGATGCTAATGGGAGTGATAGTGTTCCTTTTTCTTTCTGCTGAATGTCAAACAAAAGATTCAATTCATGTCTGAAGTCCTGTTGGGAGCTAAAAACTGTTAAAATAATGGAATATCAAAGCTTTGGGTTGCCTCGTTCTGTAAGTATTATTCCTTAGACTTTTGTCTGAGTTGTGTAGGCCAGGAACTGACAGCCAAGGCTGTTAGCAATTCCTCATTCCTTTTTGAACATAAGAGCCTGTTTCTTTTCTGAATTAAGTCCAGGCAGTGCTACCAGAAGCTCTTACAGCTTGATCCCCAAAAGGAAAGTTTATTTAAAGGTAAGGAGTGTCAGTTTTGCTACTCTTGTCGTTTGCTTTCTGATCAGAACATTTTGTTAACTTACTTTGATTTCTTTTGCTTTCCAAGATTGCATGAATGAGGTTAACTTGGAGGAAAAAAGAATGCAAGAGGAAGACAGAGCAATGAAAGCATTTCAGTCTGGAAAACATGCAGCTCTGTCTATAAATGATCTGCTGCAGAAACTCAACAGGCCAGACCAGAATATCCTCTACTATACGGGAGGGATCCATGTTCTGACAGGAGCTGTGAAGGAGTGTGAGTGCTTGATGCAAAGCTTGTTTCCGTGGGGGGTTGTAACCCGGGTGGATGAATACAACTGCAGTAGTTTTTGAAGGACCAAAAAGCCATTCCTCTGTTAAAAAAATATAACGAACGGTGTTTGCTATTTCAATGTTTATATACAGTGGATGTTTCCATACTTTTTTTTTATAACTAAATCAATTCTGTAGCTGAGCTGTTGATACTTCTTAAGGATTTGGTCATGTCATAGAACCTCAGAATGGCTCAGGTTGGAGGGGAGCTCAAAGCCCACCCAGTGCCACCCCCGGCCATGGGCAGGGCTGCCCCCCACCAGCTCAGGCTGCCCAGGGCCCCATCCCACCTGGCCTTGAGTGCCTGCAGGGATGGGGCACCCACAGCTCTGGGCAGCAGTGCCAGCGCCTCGCCGCCCTCTGACAAAGGATTGCTTCCTCACAGCTAACCCACATCTCCCCTCTTTTAGCTTAAAGCCATTCCTCCTTGTCTTGTCACTATTATTTAAGAGATCTCAAATTACTTTTGAAAGATTTGCAGTCCTCTGTAGAAGAACAATGATTTGCAGGACCACTCTCCTGTTTAAGTCCTCATAAAAACCCTTGAACATGAAGTCAGTCTTTCTCCACTGCACCAGGCATCAATTAGAGTGATCTTCTACTTCAAAGCTGTTTCTGCTTCAAGTGCTCTTGAAGTTTTTCCCCTCTTTTCAGATTGCAAACCTCCTTCCCCCAAAGCTGTTGATCTGGTGACCTTTTCCTTCAGCACTGTTGCAGCAGAGCAGGTGTCTGCCTTCACCGTGGTGCATCAGCCAGATGGCTCACAGAGCTGACTTGTTTCTCTCTGCCTCTTTTCAGGCACTGAGCAAACTTTATTTAGAACAAACAATGGGTTCAGTATCATCAATGACAACGAGGTCATCAGACGGTAAGAGCTCTCCAGAAGAGAACAGTAGCACGTTACAGCACGAGGAAGTGACAATGTTGTTTTCAAGAAACTCAATCGCCTCACGAAACGCAGATGAAATGATCACATGATAATGGAATAACTAGTTGTAATGTCTGAATAGACTGACTTGTATCTGACCCAAACAAGTAGGGCTCTTTTGGATGCAGTGGACTCATGAGTTTCTGTTTCTGTCTCTGATCTCCTATTTCTGCACAGTTCCCCTATCTCTAATGATGAGAGCAAGGCTGTAAAAGCTTACTGTAAGAGAACAGCTGATGTAAAAGCATAGTTGCCTGAAGTACGTCTGGCTGGACATCAGTAAATGTCTCACCTCAGCTCTGCAAAAACTCTCCTCAATCCCTCAATCTGTAAAACTTTTCAGTCTTGTAACTCAGGAGGAGGATTCCCTCTGGGACCTGTGTTCTCTGCTGCTATGTGTTCTGGGCAGCCATTAGATTGTGTTTTGGTAATCAAGAAACAAATCCAGTACAATTGCTTTCTAAACTTTGTCCTGGAAGGGATCTCTTGCCTAGTAGATGATAGACACAAGCAATATTTGTAGGAAAGATGTGGTCTGAAAATTTTGTACAGCTAAGTTGGTTCGGAACAGTGTGATCTGGTTGGAAAAGGGAAGAGCTGTTCTGCTGCTGCTGTGCGCTTCCAGATTTGCACCAAGCTCTCCACCCTGGCTCACAACAATCATGTCAGTGCAGAACTGAATACATTACTTGTGCTGCATACTGATTGTGGGTGGTCTGCGTGTGCTCGTGTGCTCAGGGTGGTGTAGGTTCAGTAAAACATCAATCTGGCATTGGAGGAGGTCGTCTGGAAAGCACATCTTGTTAAACGCTGTTATTAGAGCTTATGAGCCTAAGTGTTTGTATGGCAGATCCTCATCACTGTGAGGCTTTCCTGACGTCCCCAGCCATCAGGAAACAAAGAGCTAACTCTCATTGTTTCATCTGCCCTGGGTTCCTTTTGCAAGCTAATGTTTCTCATTTAGGGGCTTCTGTGCAGAAAGAAAGAGCACTGCTGAAGTGGATCTGTGTGTTTCTCTTCTCTCCCTTTGGCAAGCTGTCTGCGCTGGGAATGGTAAAAATGTGATCAACATTAATCATTGTTCATGTTCTGTTAATATGGCACACACTGGGTCTAGAATTGTTGTTTGGCACATGCATTGCTTTCCCAGAGCATTTGGGTCTAGGCCTTGCTGTCAGCAAAGCTTTATGAGGGTTGGAGCTATTCTGCTGAGCAGCGCTTCAGCACGGGGCTGAGTTTCCAGTCTGTTTCTGTGCACATCTTACATATACTGAAGAGGCAGAAAGTCAATTCCCTGTGATTATTGCTGGTTCTTAAGATAACATCACATTCGTTTTGTCTTTTTTAAGCAGTTCTACCTGTAAAAAGCAGAAGTGCTGTTAGAGAAGGGTGAATTCCTTTGGCATCAGCAGTAAGGGGTCGTTGGTTGGGTAGCTCGTGCCTCTGTTTCCCTGAGGTTTACAGGGAGGTCGGGAGCAGGTTGGAGTGGTGAAGTGGTGCAGGCTGCCATGGGGAAGAGAAGAGTGCTTGGTGCCTGCAGTTGTGTTCACTTGTGTGTTGCTGGGTTCAGCTGATGCATGAGGAAGTGTGTAGTTAGTGAGAGCAAGAGTGATGATGGGGCTTTCATCACCTGTGTCATTGTGCTTAGATTCCCTCTTTTTTCAGAAGAAAATCAGCGGCTGCTGTTGACTCACCCTGATGTGAATGCACAGCTGTTGGAATTGCTGTGTTCTGGTGTATTGGAGATCCAAAAGGAGACGCTGGCACTCATTGCTCTCTATTCAGAGAATGAGAATGGGAGGAGACTGTTGGTCAGGCACCAGGACCTATCCAGGTAACAAATGGAACTATAATATGGTAGAACTCCTTTAAACCTGGGCTTGCAGAGGTCCAAAGCTCGCTCCACTGGCACCAAGCAGAGCACCAGGTGGGTGACAGGCTTCTGAAAGGGATGTCATGATGTTGAGACCTAGGCCAAGGTGAGCAGAATTGGGAGTGAGGTGTATGGAGAAAGCAAACTTTGCCCCTGGAGATGTCTGCAAAGCTAAGCAGGAGGTACTTTCTGAAGAGGTGTAACTTTGAAGCATAGTTATGCTTTTTAAACCAGTAAGGGTGTGTGCTTAGCACTCCAGTAAGAGCTGACATTGTTGCCTCTTGATATAGCTCATGCTTTCAAGCAGCTGCTCTCTCCTCATCTGGCAAATGGCATTTATGATGAGTCAGTATTGCCAAGGCTCACTAAGTGGAGAAATAAAAAGCCTGTTAGCTCTTTGCTCTTGTCCTGCTATTTCCTTCATATAATGGTTTGGGTTGGAAGAAGTCTTTAAGATCAACTAATTCCAACTCCCCTGCTATAGGCAGGGACACCTTCCCTTAGACCAGGTTGCTCACAGCCCCATCCAGCCTGGCCTTGAATGCTTCCAGTGAGGGGCTATTCACAACCTCACTGGGCAACCTGTTCCAGTGTCTCACCAACATCACAGTAAAGAATTTCTTCTAGTCTAAATCAACCCTCTTCCAAGCTTAAAACCACTCCCCAGATAACATGTTAAGCCAGTGGATAAACAGAACAGATTCTCCAACAGATATGTGCACTTCACTGTGTTACATACAATGTTCATCCCAAGACCTGTAAAACTTTTTGGTTAAAACACCCACTCACCCCCAAAGACTGTTGGGTTTGCTCATCACGTCCTTTTAAACCACACAGTCATCACCAATGATCTTCCCTGCAAATGTCTTTAATAATTAGGCCAAAGCTAACATGCAGTTTTTTTTGTCTCTTTTTTTTATTTGTAACAGATGGCTGCAGATATTGGTGATGTTCGTCAACAGCACTGATGCCAGAGCTAGCAGTGCCATGAGTATACTGTCGGATTTAATTCAAGAGGAAAAGTAACTTGCACTTTTTCATTTGTTTTGATAAGTTACAATAGTATATATACTAAGTCACCTTGTGATAGAGGCTGCCAGCCTTCTTTACTCATTTCACCTTCCCTATATGTTACTGTTTTGTTGCTTTTCTATGTTTGTTTGTTTGTCTGTTATTCTAAAGCTTTAAGTGTCCAAACATCGCTTGCTTTATCCTCAACAGGTTCAAAGCACAGTGTCGCCTCACATTTTCCACATCTGTTTTACCACTGTTCACCCAACTGCTGGTATGAAAGATCTTAATTTCTGTGTTTCCAACATATTCTTCTGTAACATGTCTCATGACAACTCCTCCCAGTATTGAAAGGGACTGTAAGAAGGAAGGAGACAGACTTCTTAGGGGGTTGTTGTGATAGGACGAGGGGAAATGGCTTCAGACTCCAAGAGGGGAGATTGAGGCCGGAGATGAGGAAGAAGGTTTGGCACTGAGGGCGGTGAGGCACTGGCACAGGTTGCCCAGAGAGGCGGTGGTGCCCCGTCCCTGCAGACAGCCAAGGTCAGGCTGGAGGGGCTGTGAGCACTGCTGGAGCTGTGGGTGTCCCTGTGCACTGCAGGGAGGCACCAGGCAGCCTTTAGGGTCCCCTTCCAACTAAAACCATCCTGTGATTCTATGAAAGATTCTGAAATCTCAGTCAGAGAAATAGGAGCACCTGTATGTTATAATTTGTTCTTAATGTGTTCTTCTACTCTTCTGTTTTTAGGCCTCAGCCAAGCTGGTGGACCAAGCAGCCCTCTCACGTTGCATTGGCATCATGGGGAACCTGTGTGCAGATGCAGCCATCCGAGTGCAGATGGCAGAGTGCAACGAGTGCTGGCAAGCCTGCTTACAGCTGGTGGTAAGGAGGCTTGGTGGCTCCCTATAGCAGCATTTTCTGCCCTGCAGCCTCTAAAAATGGTACCTGTGTGATGTGTGTGTGCCTCCCCCAGCGGCGCTGAACCTCTGAGTTGATCACACTTTTCTCTCCTTTGTGCATAGGATGGATGTGCTGATGTTGACACACCCAAATATCGGGAGTGTGTGTTTGCAGTGCTGGGCCTCATGATGAACCTACTGCTTGAATCAAACTCCATCATCCAGGTAAACGAGACCAGAGATGTTCTTTGGTAGCTTTCTTCTTGTGATCACTTTCGTGGTGATACAAAAATTTTTGAACAGCTTGACCATCTTCCTCCCTTGGTACTGTAAATGGGCGCCGTGAGAGTTCTGTAGCTAAATGGGAATGTTTTGATAGAATGAGAGAGGTAATGGCCACAGAACAGCGCGAGCCTCACAGTCTGTAACAAGGAGAGGAGCACAACTGCACTGTGTGGATGCAGAGCCTTCTTTCACAACAAACATGCTGAGATGTTCCTAAGGCTCCAACATCAGATTTTGCTGGTGTTTGGTTAATTGTTAATTTTTGTTGGTGTTTAAGGTTATCAGTCAGGGTCCTTGACAGTTCAAGTATGCTAAAAAGCAGAAGAATGTAAGAAATGTCCATTAACACCACCCTGTGTAAGCATCTAAATGTGGTACTGAGGGACGTGGGTTAGTGGTGGTAGGTGGATGGTTGGATGAGGTGATCCTGGAGGGCTTTTCCAACCATAACTGTTCTGTGATTCACCCACAGACACACAGTTTTGACAAAAATGCAGTGTAAGGCATAGATGGCACCATGCCATCGTGTTGCAAATGGTTTGTTTTGCAATCAGTCTCCAATTCTGGAACGTTCTTAGGGCTTTGCACATCCCAAAATTAAAGAAACGTTAAGTAAAAACGTAAATAAAGAAACGTTAAAAAAGAACAACTGCTGAAGAGTTATTAATTAAGGCCATGTGTGCCCCCATCTCCATTTGTAACATAGAATAATTTGTTAATGCATTTCTGCCTGAATGCTTTCTGGCAGTCAGCTGTTCCTGAGTTCTTGGCTTTGTTTTGCAGTGCCTTGCTGTGGACATACCTGGCAGATGCATGTCCCTCCTCAGAGACCAGGATGGAAGAACTGTGACAGTAAGTAGACACCTCTGGAGTAAGAAAAGATCACATTGCTCAATCAGACCTGAACACTTCACTGCCAACTCCTGACCTGTGCAAGCTTGTGGAAGCCTTTCTGTTAGGCTTTGAAGCCAAAAACAAATGTTGAGTATTAGTAGTAGCAACAACAAAAAATAATGTGGCACTTGGATTATTTATATCCTGGTTGATGCAAGACATGTTCAGTGTTTCCTTGAAACCTACAAAGTAGAAGCCTGCACAAATCGTTTCATCCTTTGGATGGTTTTCAATGCAAAGCATTAAATCAATCTGGAAGCAAAGGAGCAAGAACAGTTTGGGTGTTTAACAGCTGTTCCTTTTTATAGTTCCTGTTGTGAATCATTCCTAGGACATTGTACTCCTACTAATGGTGTGTAACTCCCACATATAGTAATTATTCAAGGCAAATGGGTGGAAGCAGATGTGGTCTCAGCTGGGAGTCTCTTCACCTCTCTGAACTCACATGAACTGTTCTGATCTGTTTTATGTGCAATTAGAGACTCAAGTTGTCACTGGTGGTATTTATTTCAAAAAATAAGTGTGCAGAGTGTCTTTGATCATACTTTGGTATCACCCCCCCTGAATTGGAATCTTTAGAAGCTGTGCTGAGCTCACTTCCCAGTAAGCAACAAAAAAAGTCTTGTCCTAAAGATGTTCTTCATTATATTTCTGTAAACTTCTCCTTTTGTCATTTGAATGACTTCGGGTTTGTTCTGCCATCTGCAAAACCAAAATAATTTGAAAACTCTTTAAATAAATTTGTACAAATAAATGTTGGGCTTTTTTTTCCTTTTCTCCCACACTTTTCTTACTCAGAGAGCCATTGGAGTGCTGAGTCGCATCCTGGCAGCATCCTCACTGGCAGTAGAAGAAGCAGTGAAAGGAGGAGTGGTGAAGAAAATGATCAAATTCTTGAAGGTAAAGTAATTCCACTGATTTCACTTTGTTTTTCCTTTCGAAATCTCTAAAGAAAACCTAAATTGCCCCTGCATTCAGCCTCCTTTCCCAAGGAGAAAGATCTGTGCAGTCACTCCGTGTGTGTTTGCATCCATTCCATCAGAGTGCTGGGGCCGTCTAGCACAATTTCAACAAGTCTGGAGCATAACTGCTGCCTTGTAGTCTGTATCCCAGATTTTTCAGTTGTTCCTCCATGTGCCAAATGCCCCTACAGCTCTACTTGTGGAGATCTGCAAATGCAGGAATCCACTACTGCAGGCTCCATTGCAGGATCAAAGCTTAAAATAGGGGTGATAAAATCTGGACCACTGAAAGGCAATGGAGCCCTTTGCCCTGATGACCAATGAGTGCTGAATCAGGGCAGGGAGGATTTTATCCCTAAATATATACATGTAATTGTCTGTAGGCACTGCTTGGCTGTGTATCTGTGCACCTGATGGGATATGTATCCATGCAGCCTTGTGCAGATGCCACAGACTTGCTGTCCTGCAGATTAAAGCAGCCTACACAAAAGATTATAACAGTCTAACTCTTGTAACTAGCAAGCACCAGAGATGTTCGAGAGAAGCTGGGCTCCAGAGATTGAGAGAATTCTGTATGTGTGCTGCTGGCAGGGAAGAGTGGTTTCTATTCTATTTTTCAATCTCTGTTCATTCTGAGGTCTTTATCTGGGATATGGTCTTAGGCATAGTGAACAACTGCATCCGTGGTACCTAAACTGTTCTGTAACCTTGAGTAAGTTGGGGCATGGACTGTATGTTTATTAGTTTACAGTTTAGTTTAATCCACATCTAGGCTGGAGGACAGACCACATCCAGTTACGCTATAAAGACTCTTTCCATCTGCACAAGAAGTAGCAGACAAGCCCAGGAAGAGGTGGTGAAGTCAGATAAGAGTAAGTGACAGCTTCACTAATTAGAGAGAGAATGCAAGAATCTCAGCATTACCCACGTACCTTCTTCCCTTCTAGGACAGAGATATACACTTGTTTTACTCTTGCAATACTTCTGATGTTTTCTAAGTAATGCTTAATGAGCCTTAGTTTGTGTGGATGCAAACATGCATCAAATAGAAAGCTTGAGTTAGAGAAACTGCCCTTTACATTCGTAAAATGGTTTGAAATACTTTTTTGGGAGAGCAGAAATCTCTGAAAATAGTACTTCTGGAAATGTGACCCAATTTCTGTTACAATTCAGAAGTTGGTGGCCAAAAGATGAAGCTGTACTTAGACAGCTGAATTCCAGAGGTTAGGGTTGCTTGCAATTTCCTTCAACTTCTGTGTGGATATTTGGTCTCATATTAATAGGAAATGGGTGAGGAGGTGGATTGCCAGTATCAGACAGGTGGGTGTCTTGGGGTATTTTTGAGTTACTAATATTTGCTCTAGTTGTGTGATACAACACTACTTACATTGCTTTAAAATCCAGATTCAATTAATGCTTATGTAATTACCACAGAGAATACTTAAGTGTATCTAAATGGTTGAACCTGTCAAGAAATTGTCAGCTCATGTAGCTCTGCTTGAACCCAAAGGATTTTCACTCATTAAAAGCCTCTCAGAGCATCATCTTCCTTTTGTACACCCAAATTAGTTTCACTGTCATCTGCAGATGAAGCTTCCATTTCCTCAGATAGCAAGAGCAATTCTCTCATTGTTTTCACCACAATTCTGGATATTCACCTTGTGAAAAGTCACTATTTTTGTCATCGTTTTACTAACACAGACTTAGCTCTGCTGCTAGGAGATTCATTCCTGTTGGAACTGAGCTATAAAACCCATCACAGTGCAAGATCTCTTAGTCAGCAGGCAGCAACAGTGGCACGTTCAGATTCAGGGGAATGTGTAACAAATGGAGAAACTGTACTGAAGGACCTCTTGGTATGCAGATGCAATTTGCTGGGACAGATGTCTTCACAGGTGAACAGGAGAAAGCATATGACATTCTGAACCTGGCGAAGCAATGCTTTTGCTCTTCCAGGTTTTCTAGGAAAATACTTCCCCATGGAACAGTGCTGGGGGTTCTGCTCTATTGTTAAGATAAAAGCAGCAGAAGCTATTTTTCATTGCAGGGCAGTTGGACTAGATGACCTGTAAAGGTCCCTTCCATGTTAAAGGATTCTATGATGCCAGTGCTATTTGAGCAAGTCTGGGCACATTGTATACATGAAATCCTTCTTGTTCACAGAGTTTGGCGTGCTGTTGAAGCTCTTGGACTCAGAAAATGAAATGATTGTGGGAAATGCTGCTTTCTGCCTTGGGCAGTGCCTCGTTGTTCCTGGAGCAGCAGCATCCTTACTGAATTCCAACATTGTGATGGCTCTGTTGAAACACGCTGGTGGTGATGCTGCAAGAACTTCAGTGCAGGAGAATGCAGCAATTGCTCTGGGGAAGCTGTGTGTTGCAGAACCAAGGTATTGCAAAAAAAAACCAAAATACCAAAACCAGTGGAAACAAAACACTGTTGTCCTCCTGCATCATCCAGAGTTTACTTGTTGGTAATTCTTGGAAAACTGACATGTGAACCTATATGGGGACTGGGACATGGTAGGGGGAGGAAAATGAGGAATCCAGTAACACAAACCAATGTGGGTCAATTCCATGCAGAGAGGCAGCAGTACAGGGCAGATGAGCAGCTTGTTTAAGTGTTCTATGAAATGTCATTCTTCTTCCAGTTGGAATTCCCACTTGCTGTACTGTCTGCCCCATCCTGCTTTAGGATTTTTTTGTTTCTCTCACTCCAATTGCTTGCAGGAGCTCATTTTGCATTGTTTCATGTTACTTGTGCTGGAAGAACGGACAGAGGAAGAGTGATCAGTTAAGCTTGTAGAGGTCAGAAATGAAAGCATAACAAACGTATAAATGTCAGCACAGAATGTCTGTGCTGCTGCCTGCCAAGAGCGTGCCGAGCCCCAGCTGGCTGCACACTGCCAGGTGGATACAGAGCTGTGTTCTTATTAGAAGAACTGAGTTCCAGAATGTTTCTGTATCTCCTGAACCACTGCAGAAAACAACGGGTAATGCAAAGGGTAATGCTGAAGTTCCAGAAGTACTTTGTGTTTCTTGGAGTCCCAAATGAGCAAGAAAGGATCTGCTCTGAGCTCTGCAAAACACTGCAGAGATGTGAAAACCTTATTAGGAGTGTCACCTATGTGAAAGTTATCAAGTGTTATTTGGAACTCTGGCTTTCCTTTTCATGGGGAATAGTCATTGAGAAACCTTCTGTCGTGTTACTTCAGGAGTTAACGTGTTCAGGGTCCTTGATGGTTTGGCTGGGGGGCAGAGCAGAGCGGCGGGAGCTTCAGAATCTTATTGTTGGTCACTTCCCATCCACTCAGCAACTTCTCCCTTTGTCTTTTCAGGCATATTTTTCAACTGCGGGAGCTCAATGGCATGGCCATCCTCAACTCCTCTATGAAATATGTGCACAGCTCCTGACGTCCCCCAGAGAGCTTTGATAAATGCTGTTCATATCCCTTGCTGTTCCATGTTTTCTTCTTTTCTTAATAAAGCTCATTCAGAGCAGATAACCTTTTCAATCGCTTTCAAGTGTTTGCTCATACATAGAAGCCAGAGAAATGATATCAATATAAATATCAGGAGAAAGAAGATAATTTATTATCTAGGCTAACAACTAAAAATAACAACTTCTGCTCTGCTCATATTCACTTCAGTAAATGATGCTGCCCTTTCTTAGGGCCAAGTTTCTTGTTGCTTAATCATCGACCAGTGGGTCATCTGCTTTGTGGTGAGTCAGTGCCCAGAGCTTAGAAGAAAACAGAAACAATCCCTTGCCTCCCGGGGGTTACTTTATGCTTTGATATTGCATGTGTGATGTCACCTGCTTAAATACATTGATTTGAGCATACTAATTTACTGAGCTGTGAGTCTTAGTGATAACTTATGGTAATGAGGTTAATGAATGAATTAGGGCCTCTTTTAGCAGCATCGCTTTTGTAAATTTGGTCAAATCCCTTTGGCCTTTATATTTGAGTGGAGTAAGAACAGTTGATGACCTTCTTGATCCTAAGGACTTTCTCATGGCCTCTTGTGTTCATCTCTAATTGTTAAGAGACCTTAACACAAATGGTTCGTCCTTTCCATGTCTGTGTTTTCTGGAGAGGTCAATAACGAAATAAGAGCAGTGCCAAGTTAAGTGTGACCTGCAAAGAAAGGCAGTAACGCATTGCTCTTCTTAAGTGTCCTTCCAAAAAGACATTTTAAATCATATAAAGAGGAGTTTAGTCTGAAGAACTGTCTTTCTGCACTGAAGTGTAGCAGTTTTATTGCTGAAGTTCATTGCCTGCTATAAAACAGAGCTTTAGCATGAAGGCAAAGCACCAGAAGTGTGCTTTAATCATCCATGAATCAAAGCCCCATGGCTTTAGTGGATGTCTTCAATGCTTCTGAAAGGTTATCCATTGCAGATTCTTCATGGTGAGCTGCAGTAGCACTGCTGGTTAAAGGCTATCAAATTTAACAAATGTTCTCTTTGAAAATAAACAGGTGAACCTCCATACAAACCTCTAGTAAAAGCTTGCAGAACTTCTCCCAGACAAGGACGTGACCATAAATGCAGTTCTTCATTTTGGCCTTAGTTCTGAGCATGGAAACCAAGAGATGCATTATGTTTACGGCGAAGCATGGTCAGTCGTGTTTGACTTTGAAATGGCTTTGCCAGTTGCTTTCATGACACACGTGGTGGTCTGTGTACATAATCTCATCCCTTTAGAACAGTAGACTATAATTTATATGTCAGCTCCTTTTTGATATCGTCTTCCTTTCAGAACAGCATCTGAATCTTCTCACTTTTGAAGAAACTCTCTTGCCCCTGCTTTTCTTCCCTGGAAGTGAAAAGCATCTGATCAATAACCTCACTGTGTTTTATAACCACTAAACTGCACCCAGCCAAGGGAAATAGGTAACAAATATTTGATACCTTTGTGTAGCAGTCATGTCCAAATAAGCAGTACTGCACTTCAAGCTTGGCAAATGCCAACAATGTCTTACCAAAAAACCACAAAACATCACTGCTGTGTTCCAGGACTGGCTGCCCCAGGTGCCAGTCAGGATACGTGCCTTTCCCAAACAGCTGTGCCAGTGGGAAGGAGGTGACCTTGGTGAGCGATGGGGCAGGATGGGCACAGATCAGGACTATCTGTTGGGCTGTGCAATCAGCCTGCTGCAGGACAGATAATGCCTTATTGTTGGTTTCTCTCAAGAGCGGTCGCCTCTTCCTTGGTGTCTTTTACAGTGCTCTTCTGAGCTGTTGTTGTTCTGCTTATCTGAATGTTGCTCATTTTTTAGATGCGATTTCCACAACTCTCATGACATTCACGGCTATGTAATAATGTTCTCTCTTATCTCCTCAGCCTGCATTGTTCCAAATTTCCTGTCTCCCAGAGTTTCTTTTGCTTCTGTGTCGGTGTGGGTGCCTGGTGCTACCTGTGTGATGCTGCTCTCCAGCTGCAGGTGAATGTTTGCAAGGACAGGAGGGCTCACTGTTAAAGAAAATAGGGATGTACAGAATTGCCAGACAAGCCCCCAGCCTTCTCTTCTGTTGTTATGCAAGTTAGAATTTAATTGTATCATAATCATAGAATGGTTCAGGTTGGAGGAGGACTCAAAGCCCACCCAGTGCCACCCCCAGCCATGGGCAGGGCTGCCCCCCACCAGCTCAGGCTGCCCAGGGCCCCATCCCACCTGGCCTTGAGTGCCTGCAGGGATGGGGCACCCACAGCTCTGGGCAGCAGTGCCAGCACCTCGCCGCCCTCTGACAAAGGATTGCTCCTCACAGCTAACCCACATCTCCACTCTTTAACTTTAAAGCCATTCCCCCTGGAATGTCCCTCTGGATGGCGTCCCTTCCTGCTGCTGTGTCCACTGCACCACTCAGCTCAGTGCCATCAGCAAACTGCTGAGGCTGCACTCCATCCTATCATCTGTCACTGATAGAGATGCTGAAGAGCACCGGTCCCAAGATGGACCCCTGGGGGACACCACTGATCACCGGCCTCCACCTGGACATGGAGCCATTGACAACAGCCCTCTGGCTGCGACCATCCAACCAATTCCTTATCCACCAAATGGTCCAGCCTTCAAATCCATCTCTCTTCATTTTGGAGATAAAGGTGTGGTATGGGACCATGTCGAAGCCCTTGCACAACTCCAGGTAGATGACATCAGCTGCTGGCTCAGACTGCTCTGGGCTGGACAGAGTTAGCATAGTGCTGGGATCCACTTCCATTGCTCTGAGCCTCAGCTCTGTAACTGGGGCACAAACCCTGCAGACCTCGAGCACTGACAGAAGCAGAACTGTGACCTCCTCTCTGCCACTGAACACACCTGGGGAGTCTTATGGGGAGAAATGCTGTTATTTGGGCTCACAGGGCTGGGCAGCTTGCCTTATGAGGAGCCTCCACCTGAGACTCAGGCTCATCCATCTGTGTACGGCTCACATTGTCAAAAGCTTTGGATCTTGGCTCAGGTAGCACGTTGAATTTTTCTTCAGAATAGACGTGCTGCCCTGATCACTACCTCTCACACAATCAGTTTTCCTATCTTTGTCATGCACGTGAGCACAGTATCTTTTGTTAAAAATCAATTGACTCCCATTGGTTCAGGCTTCAGAATCTTTTTTTTTTTTTTTGGGGGGGGGGGGGGGGGGGAGGGACCAAGACTATTGGTTGTGGCCTGACCTAAAATCTTATAAAGTAACCCAATGCTCTGCCTCTCCAGAACAAACAGCCAATGCTCTCTGCCGAGAGGCAGCAATGGCTGCTTAGCAAGTTGCCTCTTCTGAACACGTCGTTATTGGGTTGACTCGGGAGCTGCTTCACAAAATGCAGGACCTGCTTCCCATTTTTGTTCTGATTGCATCGGAGCTGCTGGATCTCTCTGGTGAGCGATGCGTTCTGTCACGATGTCATTTGCCTTCTTTCTGCCTTCTGTCCAGTTCTGGGTGTGCTGCCATGGCTCTCAGGTGTGTGGTAAGGAGATGAGTGAGCACAGCCTTCTTTGGGAACAGCTGTCTGGCCAAATGGACAGTGTGAAAGCAAATTGAGTTTGTAATGCTGATGTGCCTCAAGCAAGTTCCTAGGGCTGCTGCCACTCACAGCAGAGACTGCTCCCCATAAAGGTGTGCTTATGGGTGTCACTTTACTTATCTGAGACTTTGATTCATTAAAAAATTTGAGTTCATACATGTCTATAGACACTTGTATTGCTTTGCTGAGTTGAGGTTAAGCTATGGAAGTTCCATCTCTTTGTACAAAATCATAATTCATAATTTTTATAGACTTAACATCCCAGTCTCCATCATCATCAGAATCCATTCTTTTACAGTATCTGCTTTTTGGTTTCCCTTTACTCTGCTCACTATTCCCAAAGTAGTTCCTTAACTTTCCGCTTCCCTCTCAGCCTGTTGCAAAGTGCTGCTGCAAACTGTTGGAAGTTGATGGACAAGGAAACAGACAAAGCTCCATTTCTGTCTGCTAGGTGCCCCCAGAGCCGAGCACCATGTTGGTGGAGCCTCAGACCTGAGCTTTCCTGGAGAACCCCAACCAATACCTGGGACCAGTCCACTGTCAGTCACAGAGGATGACTTGGGTGAGGCAACCAATTATGTTCAGACTCCGGCAGCCGATCCTACAAATAAAATGACAGCAGACTTCATTCCCAGCCACACAGAGGTGGCTGCAAGAGCAACAGGCACGCTGCCAGCGGAGCCAGTGAGGGATGTGGAAGGGTCTGAGCGAGGGCACACAGCAGCTGCTGTAAAGCTCCAGGACAGACAGCCATTTCCTAACGAGCTCTTGAGCAGCACAAGCAGCCCCATTTCCACACGAGGGCCACAGGCTGCCACCCACCCACATCCCTTAGGAAAGGCTGCCACTATTACCAGCCCAGCCAGCTCTGATGCTGGCACCCCTCAGCCCATTCCCAGTGCAGGGGTGCAGCAAGGTGTTTCTGCCTTGTCCACCCCAGGCATCCAGCAGAGGGAGGCACCAAGTCTTGAAACATCTCCTCTGACTTCAACAATACCTTTCCATCCTCCCAGAAAAGAAACAGCATCTCCGTTTCCCACCAGAGAGAAGATGGTGACCAATCCACCATCAGCACCTCCCACCAGCAAAAGGCCGAGAGATGCGAGCCCCCAGGCACAGCCCCACAGCAGAGCTGCACAGCCTCGGGGTGTGGCTGCTAAGGTCACCACTTCTGCATTCCTACCAAAACCAGCTTCAGGGGACCCTACCGCAGTTCCTTCCAGAACAACACAGACAACTGCTGGTTACTTCTCCCCTGTGAAGCGAGAGATGGCAGGCAGCGAGGGCAGGAGCTCAACAGCAGCCATAGTAAGTGGATCTGGACACACAGCCCAGCTGCCTGCACTGCAGGACATTCTGCAAGGCCACGCACACTCCTCTTCCCCACTGATGCCTCTGGAAGCCCTGGATCATGATTTACCCCACTCTCCATCTCAAGAGCCCACTAATGCTGCTGACGGACCGCAGCCTCTCCCTTTGCCTCGGACTCACAGCTGTACCAAACACCACTCCTCCCAGGAAGACCACAGGAGCTCTCAAGGAAGCACAGCCCTGGTTTTGCAAAAAGATGCTGATCACCAGATGACAAGTAAACCCGAAAAATCCAGATTCCCTGAGAAGCCACAGGTTTCTGCTAGTGCATCTTCAGTAAGCCAGTCACAGATGTCCACCTTAAACATTTCCCAAACTACTACAGGGACAAAAGGAGCTACATCTGCATTCTCCCTGGGCACTCCCACCCTGCAGCACGCAGCCCTTCGAGCTGTGAGCACTCCTGTTGTTCCTGCAGCACTTCAGCCAGCGGGTGTATCTGCTCCTCCTGCTGGACCCCAGTTAGCAGGCATCCTCACTTCTGCTGGGCAAGGACTTCACATACCAACTTCACCCACTTCAGCTCATTCCAGGTCTCTGCACCCACCTTTTGCTCAGGAAAGCCTGCCCAGCACAACTGCACATCCCAATGTGGTAGAGGCTGCTGTTTCTGATGGGATCCCAGCACACCTGGCACAGCTGCTGGTGCAGCAGTTGGATACATCACACCACACACCTACCAAAAACCTCAGTGCTATCGGAACCGATCACCTTAGCATGTTACCATCATTCCCATATTTGTCCTTCCTGCTTAGAAATACCGACAGCATGCTATGCCTGCTTCCCACACAGGATTCCCCTTTGCCTGTGCAATTCCCAAATATCAGCACTGGGACTCTGGTTTCTGCTCAGCAAATCCTCACGGTGTCAAATTCTTCGTTATTAGATCTAGGGGACTTACCAAACATGAGTCTTTCCAGCTTAATCCTGGTTAAGCCCATATTTATCCTCTTTCCCACCGACAGACCAGGCTTACAGGGGAGGCCCTCTCCTGAGGGTGAAGGCAAACACAAAACCCTGTTGTTCAGCAACCAGCAAGGTGTGAATGCAATTACTGCTCAGCACAGCCATGACATCCCGCTGGTGTCCACACGCATCCCCCGTACTGCCCCCAAAGCACCTCTCACAGCTGGGAAGTTGTTTTCTTTATCACTGCCAGCGGTAGAACTGCCCGATCCCCCACTCCCAGCCCAGCCTCCGTTTGCAATCACAGAGGCAGTGGATCCGGCTCAGCCCAGCAAGGAGGCAGCACTGCAAGGCACCGGCCTGGGCTCAGCCCCCGCACCGTCCTCTGCCCGTGCACAGTGCGCTGAGTGTCTGCGCTCAGCCAGGACCACGAATTACCCACTGAGGGTGTCCACAAGCACTGTGCCTCTGCAGTCCACACCGCAAAGCTCCGAGCCGCTCCAAAGGCTGCCATCACCAGCTGGGATTGCGCCCAGCACCGTACCGGCATCCCCAGCGCCTCCCACTGGCAGCGACAGGAGAGGTTCAGCTGCGGGCAGCGCCGCCTGTCCGGGAGTGGCTCTGCATCCCAGGGCAGCACCAACCTCACCCTCATCTCTGAGCCCCGGCCTTGCCAAGCGCCTGGAGCTCACACCCACCGTGCCCAAACCCTCTGCAGTGATGGAGACCCCAACACCAGTGCTGTCACCATTATCAGCAAAGGTTCACGTGAAAACAACAACGTCTGGGAAGCTGCTGGCTGCAGTTACCCGTCCGAGAATGTACGCCGGGTCCCCTGCAAGCCCGCCTTCCTCTGTGGCCATGCGCATTCTGCCATCAGCCACAAAACACGACCGGAGCACCCGAGCACAGGGCAATGTGGGAGAAGATGCAAAGCCAGCTGAAGTCAGCACGAGTGCAAGGAAAACAGGACTCGCAGGAAGCAGCACTCCTCTGCCAGCTGTGTTTGGGCCGGAGCAGCACCCCGCAGCAGTGCAGGACAGCGAGGCTGCTTTAGCCCCAGTGCAGTCTGAGTCTGCAGAAGCTGTGATTGAGACACACAGCTCTGCTGGGCAGCACCCTGGACCGCCTACGACAGGATCGGCTGTGGGGCTGCCCCTGAGCACTGAGGAAGAAGAGGAGGCCGGACCCCGCGAGGTGACAGAAGAAGCAGCCGAAGGCTCAGTGACCGAGCTCACACCGCTGGGGTCACAGCCGGCAGAGCCCCGCCGCCGCAGCGCCGTGCAGCCGGAGGGCGCCGTGCTGAGCGGGTAATTGGGGCAGGAGCTGCCGCTCAGAGGGCGGAGGGGTCAACATCTCCAGTGCTCCGTGTGCTCAGCAGCACGGGCGTGATGTATTGCTTGGTTTGAGAGCGCTCAGTTCGTTCTGCAGTGACCTCATAAATGTATTTAAAAAAAAATGTAATCTTTCTACATCTCAGATGTTAGCGCTGTCCTTCCAGCTTTCTTTTGCACAGCAGCCTTTGACTCTCTGCCTCTTCTCCTAAACAGCTCTACGTGCATCTCTGTGATGTGGGAGCATCTGACAGCACAATGAGACACACTAGCTAAATGTGGACCTTCCCCACATGGCTGTGCAGAGGCAGGAGGTGGTTCCGGTCACACCAGCGTCTACTTGCTCTTCATTTCATTCAACTTGCTTGCAAACATCTTGCAGAGCTGTTTGGTTTCACCAAGGAAACCGACCCTAGCACTGAGCAGCTCCATAGCAGAGTTGGGCTCAGCTGGTTTCTTCTTTCCCCTGCAGCGTTGCAGTTGTCAGCGATGAGCTCTGTGGCTCTGGGAACTACACGGTGCGGATGACCCTGCGCCCTGTGGCAGACACCAGCCTGGGGCTGCAGGGCTCACCCCCCACCCAGGACTCCTTCCTGGCTCTCGTAGCTGTGCAGAGCAGCCCCCAGCCCGTGCTGCAGCTCCGTTCCTGCTGTGTGACACCGTCCAGCAGCCTGCAGGGCCCCAGCGCCGTGTGCTGCTCGCTGCCCAGGTATGGCACCGGGAGCTCCAGGTGGGGCTGGGTTGGGGAACATGTTCTGTAATCAGCACCATAAGACACATGGCTGTCCTTCCTTCACACTTTGACCCATACAAATAACCTGTCCCACTTTCTTGTGCAGTATTATCATTGTACAGCATCCTCCTGCCCTTCCTCCTGGGGGAGCACACAGCCTGGGAGCAGAGCAGCCCAAAGGTGGGAGACCCTGGTTGCAGTGAGAGCTCACCCCTGTGCTGCTGCTGCATCTGAGTCAGGCAATGAGATCCACACTACTGCAGCTGTTTTAGAGGTTTTAGCACAATAAACATCCAAGAAAGAACAGCAGGCAAACATCCAGGCTGGGACACTGAGATTTTGGGGATTTTTTTTGCCTGGGGCCTGGCAGACAGCCTATGCAGAGCAGTGTCTGCCCTTCCCTGCCCTTACCTGGGAAGTGCTGGGAGCTGAAGCTTTTTTCTGTTTGCCCTTGCCAGGCTGCCAGCTGAATGCAGACACATCCAGCTACTGCCGAGCAGTGAGTCCAGAGCTGCCAGCTTCACCATCCAGCTGTTCCAGATGCTAAATCACTCCGTGGCCTACCTGCACTGTGAGCTCAATGTCTGTCTGCAGGACCACACAGGCTGTGAGCAGGTACATGGGCAGGGTCTTCCTTCTCTGATCTGAGCACCTTCCAAAGATATAAGGCTTCCTTCCCCAAGGAAGGGGAGGGGTAGCAAGGCTCAGGGATGGGGTGCCAGCCAAACCCATGCCAGTGCCTTGTGCTCAATGTGGGTTATGCCATGTGTTTAAGAGACACTACAAGGCAGGCAGTGCTAAGAGGGCTGTGCTGGGCTCTGCTCAGTGCTTCCCATCTCTTTCCAGGATTGCTTTGTTGGTGCAGAGCCACTCCTCCTGCCAGGGGACAGGAACAGACATGGGAACCCACACAACCTGGTCTCATTCGGCCCAGTTCTGAGAGCAACGGACAGCTTAGAGTACAGACCTGCAGAAGGTGGGTCTCCTGCTTGGCAGCTCTATCCTGCAGAAATCTCGGCTCAATTTATGGAGCATTTTTTTTCTTCTTCCCATCCGTAGTTGAAACGCAGCAGCTGGTTTCTGTTAATTAGATGTTGCCCAGCTGTTAGAATGGAGAGGGATTCGATTTGGCACATCAAGAGCATGACAGACTTCCAGAGCTCACTGCCACCATCTCTGAGAGTCACTTAATTTCTTGTATGTCTGATTGCTTTTTTTTTTTTCTTTTTTTTTGCAAAGAATATTTACTGTTGAGGCCTTATGGCAAAGCAGGCAGTGTGTCTGAGGGGGCACTACCCATCCATAGCATCACAGAACCATGGGATGGCTCAGGTTGGAGGGACCTCAAAGATTACCAGTTCCAACCTCCTGCCATGGGCATTGCTGTCATTCAGACTGCTCTGTCTAAAGAAGCAGCCACTCCTGCTTGGCATGCTGGAAAGAAGAAGAAGGGGTTTTAACCCTCTTTCTCCTCTCCCTTAATGCTATTCACAGCTTGATGACTTTTCTCTTTCCAGGTCCTAATTCTGCCATGCTGGTGCCCATTCTGCTGGGATCCCTGACTGGCTTTGCTGTCCTGGGCAGTGTTTTCATCTGCCTTTTGTTGCATCACAGACAGAAAACCAAAAACCTAAGTTATCCACAACTTGGAGAAATCTGTGGCCTATGAACTACACATAACTTCCTGGTCCTGCCTATCCCACTCCACTACTACAGTAATCAGAAAAGCAAACACTTTTGAATTGCACACTGTATTGCTTTTGTAGACCTGTTGGCCCAGGGAGCAAGATCTCTCTTTCCTTTCTTTCCTTCTGCACGCTTGAGCCCACAGACTGCAGAGTAGAGGACTGTAGAAGCAGCCCATCCAAAGGGGAGAATAGATCTGCCATGTAGCTAAAACCTCTAGGTCAGGGTTCAGTGTCTGTCTTGCAGAAGCACTCATTATTCCTTGCACTGCAGCAGTGCTGTGGAAATTAGCACCACATGCCATTTGACATTGCCTTACCCACAGAGGTAGTCCCTGTGCTAAGCTGTTAATGCCATTTATGCCCCAGACAAGTGTCATTAAAACCTGCTGGAGAGTTAAGGCATAGAGCAAGTGCAAGTGTGTGCGCATCAAAGGTGACACAGCTACAAAGGAGCAGTGCCCCAGCCCCAAAGGTTTGCCCTCTTCCCTGCGACACATCTGCAATCACAGCAGGTTCTGTGCAAAGCTGCAGCTTGAGGGCTGCTCAGTGGTTGTTGGTAACACACACCCCAACCTCCCAGAGCTGTGACAGGGCGCTGGGCTGCCAGGATGTGTCATCAGTGCAGCTGTGCTTTTGGGAAGAAATCACTCTGCAGCTGTGTGTGGCCCTGCAATGGTGCTGTGTGGTGCTGGGGCAGTGCCTGCACTCACTGCTATCTGCAGAACTCAGCTGCATCCTGCAGGGCCCGACGCTGTGCAGTGTCGTGGTGCCTCTTACAAAGGTGGGCTTCAGTACCTGCATGCATTGTAAAGGTGAAAAGCTGTTAATAAAGAGTGGGCACATCCCACTCAGTGCTTTGATGAAAGTTTGTTTCTTAAAGTGGTCCCTTTCTCAACTAGGGTAAACTGGTCATAAGAGATAAATAAGGATGAAGTCGACTGGGAAAAGGCAATATCAATCCCATTTATTAAAAAAAAAAAAAAGGTAGAAAGGATGACCTGAGGAATTACTGACCTCATCACTGTGCTGGGAAGATCACGGAGCAGATCTTCCTGGAAGCTGTGCGAAGGCACATGGAAGAGAGGGAGATAATATGGGACAACCAGCAATTCATATTGGTGAAGCCATCTTCACCAAGGGCAGGTCCTGTCTGACCAAACACGAGGCTTTGATGGTGTAACTGCATCAGTGAACAAGGGAGGAGCCACTGATGTCACCTACCTGGACTTCAGCAAGGCCTTTAACACGGCCCTCCACAACATCCTTCTCTCCAAATTGGAAATATATGAATTTGATGGGTGGGCTGTTTGATGGATGAGGAACTGGTTGGGAGATCGTACCCAGGGAGTGGTGGTGAATGGCTCAGCGCCGGGTGGAGATGGGAGGCAAGTGGTGTCCTGCAGGGCTCGGTGCTGGGGCCGGTGCTCATTAACATCTTCATCAGTGATATCAACTGTGGGGTTGGGTGCACCCTCAGTAGTTTGCAGATAACCCCAAGCTGTGTGATGCACTTGACTGTCAGTACGAGCTGGGGGACGTAAGGATAGAGCACAGCCCTGCCCTTGGCTGGGGGTGGCACTGGATGGGCTTTGAGCTCCCCTCCAACCTGAGCCATTCTATGATCTATGGTTCTGAATAAAGATCTGTTGGTAGTAACTGCAGGAGGGCCCTCTGGAGCTGAGGAAGGCTCATTGCTCACTGTCATCCCATCAATGTCCCACAACAGTTGCTGCATGCACCATGGAGCATGGGAGCAGCCATTGTGAGTGGGGTCACCAACCACCACCAAAGCAGCCAGCAGCCAGAGCTGGCTGAACTGCCTCGACCAGCTCTTTGCTGTGCTCTCCTGCCCTGAAATGCCCCTCCAGGCAGTCAGCAGCTCCTTCATCCCTGCTCCCTGCCTCTTCGTGCTGCTTACATTTCTTTTCAAGCAGTTTCTCAGTTTTACGTGTTGATGTTCCTTACATACAAGGTCTGGAGACCCACCCCTTGGCTCACCACGCACCTCCCCATTCACACCAGTTATTCCCACACACACTCAAGCAGCTGGCAGTGCTGGGCTGCCTCTGCTGCCATGGCTTCAGGGAGAGAGCAGCAATGTGGCAGCCTCACTGTCTTCAGCAAGGAGGACTTCGAGGAGGACTGGGTGAAAGTGGCCAGCGGGGGCTTTGGGTGTGTGTACCAGGTCAAGCACAAGAAGTGGAGGACGGTCTATGCGGTGAAATGCTCCCCATACCTGCTGCAGGACCCCGGCACAGACAGGTAACGCCTGCTCTCCTCCACACTGCAATCTGTCATGTATGTGTATCTTAAACTTAATTAGCAGAGGAGTTTCCAGTAGTTGTTGCTGGGCTCGCTGAGTTGATGAAGGTATTTATTCTAAATTTTTATTGCATTCAAGCAGAAAGGATCCTGTCTGGTTCGTAGCCACATGCTGATATTCCTTTTCCTGTGATGTTTCCTGTGATGAATCTCCTGATTCCCATGGAGATGGCTTAATTTGGCAGTGACCATGCCTTTGGTTTGCAGTGCTTATGCTCTGCATATTGCATTTACTCTTTCCATTCTGGGGAATAAGTGAATCAAGTTGATCAGTTTTACTTCTGTATGTATCAGTTCAAGAAAGTTCAATCTTACGGATATCCCCAAAGCAAGAGGGCGGGGGCTAAGCAGCTCTGTGCCAGCACCCACCATCCTATGCCCTGTGCTGGAAGGGAACAGGTGGGGGCCATGCCTTGCAGCTCTGCCCCAGAAGGGAGCCAGAAACCAGACAGGTCCCTCCTTGTGCAGCACTCCTTGCTGCAGGTTGTGCCTTTCTGGAGATGAGAGGAAGTGAGCCTTTCTACTGGAAATAACACACCTGGGGTAACCCAGTGTGGGGTCTGTTCCAATGGAGAAAGTCTGGCAGAGGGTTTTGCTTGGCTGAACTGTGTTTATATATGTGGGTGACCTAGCAGGATGTCAATGTGAGCTCAGATTCATTCCCAGGGTGTGCTTTCTACCTTCTAGAAGTCTTTATACTTGTACTGCTTGATGTCTGTCAGCACACTCTGGGCACCCCGACTTGTTCAGCAGGTCGGGAAATGCAAAGATTTAGTGAAGCAGGTCTGGCAGAGCTGGCAGCAATGGGCAGACTTGTCTAGACTGCCCCGGGACCAAGTCAAAGGGAAATCTGAATCTTTTAGGGGTGCACAGGGATGCTTGGATAGCCCTAAGCTGCTGTACAGGAACTCCACCTATGGATCAGCGCTGACAGCATCTCTTGGTTCTTTTTTTTTCACCCAGAACTAGTGTGAACTGTCTAATGGAAGAAGCAAGCAAGATGGAGAAAATAAAATTCCAGCACATTGTCACTATCTACGGGGTCTGCAACAGCCCTCTGGGCATAGTGATGGAATACATGGCAAGAGGGTCCTTGGAGAAAATCCTTCCCACTCACAAAATGTCGTGGCAGCTCAAATTCCGGGTTATCCATGAGATGGGCTTGGCTATGAATTTCCTGCACAGCATGACACCTCCTTTGCTTCACTTAGACCTAAAGCCAGGGAACATCCTCCTTGATGGGAATATGCATGTCAAGGTATGGCCTTATTGTTTGCAGGGACAGGTCATTTCTCTCGGTAGTGCATAGGTTGTTTTGAGTCCAAAAGCCTAATAATGACCTTCAGGAACACTCATCATTAAGATTGACATCTGCAGCTTGCAAGAAGCAGCTGATAAACAACTTGCATGATATATTCCATAATATGTAGGAGATTCATAGAATCACAGAATGGCTCAGCTCGGAGGGGAGCTCAAAGCCCACGCAGTGCCACCCCCAGCCATGGGCAGGGCTGCCCCCCACCAGCTCAGGCTGCCCAGGGCCCCATCCCACCTGGCCTTGAGTGCCTGCAGGGATGGGGCACCCACAGCTCTGGGCAGCAGTGCCAGCGCCTCACCACCCCAATTGTGCCAGAACTGGGAATACAGAGGAAAAAGCTGATCTGCTGGAGTTGGTGAAAAGCACTGACTTTGGTTTTAGCTTTAGGTTTATCAGACACCTCTTCATATTCCTCATCATGAAGGACAGAGATATCTTCCAGCTAAAATAAGGAGAAGTGAGACTGTGAATGTTAGAGAGAATGTCACGTTCTCTGCTTGCAGATCTCAGACTTCGGGCTGTCCAAATGGATGGAGCAGTCGAGCCGAATGCAATATATTGAAAGCTCTGCTTTGAGGGGCACTTTGAGCTACATCCCCCCAGAAATGTTTCTGCAGAACACCAAGCCTCCAGGAATCAAATATGATGTGTACAGGTAAGGGTTGCCTTTCTGCTCATGGGTGAGACAGCATTCAAATATCCTTTTGGCCAACTTGCTTTGCAGCCCACTTATAAAAGCTGCGTGCTGGATGTCTGTCAGCTCCTTCACTACTACACTGCACAGTGATCTAAGAGAAATAGCAAAGGAGTATTCATGTGGTCACATGCACTTGCACCAGTCAGGGACTCTATAACCCAATAGGAATAAAATGGGGTATAGGGTATAGGGATGTAGACTGTGATGAGAAATGCTATAAGTCACTCATCCACTGCTCAAGCCCTGTGGCAGACATCAGAGATGTATGTGATGATTCATAAAATATTGTCCTTTGGGGGTGTGGTGGGTGCAATCTCAGTTCTTCCATCATGAAGCACACCTTTCCTACATTTTCCATTTCTCGAGAAGACAAAAGTAATTAGTGGATTTTATGTTTGTGTACAATGAGAACTCTATGGAAATGATTGCTCACAATCTCTCATTGCAGCTTTGGAATTGTCATTTGGGAGGTGCTTATGCAGAAGAAGCCTTACGCAGGTAAATATGAGAGTGAATGCACTTCTTACATGCTCTGCACTCATTAAAAGCTTATTACAGCCACCTCCACAGAGAAAAAAGCAGTGTATGCTGCTGTGACTTTTTCAGGAGCCAACATGATGGCCATCATCGTCAAGGTAGCAGCAGGCAAGAGGCCCTGCCTGGAACCCATCAGTGACGACTGGCCAGGGGAATGCCAGCAGATGGTGGACTTGATGAAGAGGTGCTGGGACCAAGACCCTAAGCAA